TATCATTTAATATTTGGAGAAATAGCATTGGATGATTGCTATCTTAATTCATCACTCGTTGATTTCCTTCTCAAAATGCCAAGATTAAAAGAAGTCTCCCTACTTGGTAATCATTTATCACCTCTAGATTTGAAACGGATTAATCATATTTTGAAGGAAGACTTTGAAGATCCACTATTGGATTTGGAAAGGTAATCACAGAAGCTATGAGTATGAGTAGTAACACTTTATTTAATGAATTTCGAAAATGGAGCTAGAATATTAACCTCCTCTCAATCTCAAAACTAAATGAACTGTTGAATCCTTTTGAAGATTGTAATCGGAGAGTTGTCTTCCATCTTCTAATTGTTTACCTGCATAAATCAATCTTTGTTGATCAGATGGAATACCTTCCTTATCAAAGATCTTTTGTTTCATATTTTGAATAGTATCATTTGATTCCATTTCAATTGTAATTGTCTTTCCAGTTAGGGTTTTAACAAAGAGTTGCATACCACCTCTCAATCTCAATACCAAGTGAAGAGTAGAGTCTTTTTGAATATTGTAATCATTGATCGTTCTGCCATCTTCCAATTGTTTACCAGCATAGATGAGTCTTTGTTGTTCTGGTGGAATACCTTCCTTATCTTGAACTTTTCTTTTAACATTCTCAATTGAATCATTTGATTCAACTTCCAATGTGATGGTTTTTCCAGTAAGTGTCTTGACGAATAATTGCATTGTTGTTAACTGCTTTTTTCTTGAATTGTTTGTGTTTCATGTGGTTAGTCCTCTTTGGTTTTATTGCAAATCTTGGAAAAATATTTTTAGACAAAAGTTCTGAAGAATATGAGAAAACCTTGATGAACTCTATTTTGTTTCTAGCCACAAATTATGAACTGCTGTTGGTAGTTCAACAGAGTTTACAACTTCTTTTGGTTTCTTTTGTTTTCTCTTGACCAACACAATGATAACAGGAACCACAACAACCCCAACTATTGCAATACCTATTAATATGATCAACAATAACAGGAATAGAAGGTAAAGCAAGTTGTTACTTGATTGAGTAGTTAACGATTGAGTTGTATCTTCTGAATATTCAGTAGTAAGAATGGCAATTTGAGAATTATTTTGAATGGAAGTACATTTACATGTTAATAAGTGGCCATCAATAGATAGAGAACAATCATTCTGTCTAAGAATTTGGGTATAATTCTTCACAACAATACATGAATATTCTCTTAAGGTATTTAACTTTCTTGTTGAATTTAAATGGAATGTATAGGAAATTGATTGATTGTTAACTGTTGATATATCAACAAACGAGAAGGAAATCAAGTTAGAATTAATAGATTCCTTTTTAAATGTGGAAATGGAGACATCTTGTTGTTTTCTCTCCATTATAGACCGTTCAGAAACCAAGACAGTGTTTGTGTCAAATGTTGCAATATGATTAAGAGTAGTACTTGATGAAATAAAAGTAAATAATTGTCTCTTTCCAGAATTTTTCATTCCACCTTGGATTGTAATGTTGTTATTCTCAAATTGAGCTCTCATATTATTGTAATAATATCTATAATTCTTATTTGATAATATAGTTAAAAAGTGAGTTTCAAATTTCATGTGATCTTCTCCAACGAATCTA